AAAACCTCGCTTTCCCCCCCCCCCCCTCCCTGCCCCCTTAAGGAAAATTTTTTCCCCAAAAATGCCCCCCCCCCCCCCCCCAACCAACCAACCAACCATTGCTTCACCTGTGTGCTTGTGAGTGAGTTTCTGTATACTGCCTGGATTTGAACCACAAAACCTACCAATTTACATGTTGGTAATCAAATGAGGCATTGTTATATAATTGTGAAGGCAGTCTGATACAGCACTGATTAAAATACTGAAATGTTAGAGTTGAAGCAAAACATGTTCCAGCAACATTCAGTAAATGAAGGCAGCAGGAATCAATTTCAAGATCCTATTATTCTATATTTAGCCATGTTCACTATGTAGATACAAAAAGGAAAAAAACCCTGATAAAATGGCACTTAATTTTTCTCCAAGGTCTATTCTGCAGTGTATTATGTGGAAATAATCAGTCATTACTTCAGAGCATGTAATTTATCACTTTCTTTACATTGATGTGTTGCAGCAAGAAAGTGTTTATGAAGACATGGCATTTATCATTGCTTTGGGTTATAGAATGACTTATATGCTATCAAGACCTGAAGGAGAAAAATTACAGAATGAGAGAATTTGTTTGTTACATTTGGCCTGAAGTTGTTATGATTGCATTTGCATTAAGTGTACCATTGATTTTTTGAGGACAGAACATACTTCATATTTTTAGATGTGATGATAACAGAAAATTTGATGCAGAAGAAAAAAGAAAATCAATGAGTCACATTATGAAATCAAGCTCTCAGTTTCATAGATCTGTTATTGGTGGCAACTCAGATATCATGCATGCATGCATGCACCCACGCACATGTATGCACACACATCGTGAAGATATGAAAACATTGTCAAATTTAAAGGCAGAGGAAAGAGGGAACACCAAATAAAATGCATGCATGAACAGTCACATTGTGAATTTTTGCATTATTAGAATTGGTTTATTATCTTGATATCTAGTTATTGCGTATCGACTGCCAACAAACTCGTAACAATACATATTGATGAAATGGCACTTGTAGGTATGAAGGAAAAAAAAAACACAATTGCACTTCATTTGAGGTTGATATTTTTCTTGGCTACAGCACTGAGAGTCAGTGGAAAATTTCCAGCACTTTTTGCAAGCGTGCACATAATTATGCTAATGAGTCTGGTCCGTCATGACTCTCTTCTACCAAGAATTAAATACGAAGTGTTGGAATGGCGCATTGATGGATTATATCGATTGCTGTTCCATTAAAACAGTGTAATTGCATGGGAATCATGATAAATGTGGGTAGTTTTGTGGTTCTTGTTAGATCTGGAAGAAAGGAGAGAGGAGACTATGCAGCAAAAGTAAACTAGTATCATGGATTAATTATTAAAATGAATTGTGAGATGTGATCCGACATGTTGGGCATGGCAGCACTGATGGGTTTATCTAATCAAATTCAGGTTTAGCTTGCTATTGATCTTTTTCTCTCCTAACAAAGACACTTATCTGTGAAATCTGCTGAAGAATAAATTCATTAGGTCATGATGCATGTAACTATGGTAACGTAGGCCTCCTGTAGAGGAAATACCCAGAGTGCATATTGCCTGGTAAGACTTCAGGCAGTATTAAGGATGTTCTTTGATGATATTATAGATCACTGAAATGGACTGAGGAGCATGATGATATTATATACTGTGGCAAATAATGAAACAAGAGTAAGCATGAGTTAAAACCAGTCCATTGGCATGAATTTAGCAAAAAAAAACTATTAAACCTTTCTTATAAGAGTGAAAAATAATGAAAGAAAAATGCTCTAGTAATGAGCTCTTTTTTTTGTACATGTTTCGATGTGTTTGCACATAGTATACACTTTGGTGTTTTAAAAACATATTAAGAACCTTGGATAGAAGACTGAGTGCAAAGTTTAGCACATGCATATATGCTGTGTACAGTTCAACTTTTTGTTGAGATATTGATTGGCCTTGATTATGGAGAAATATTACCTAATTTGCATGCAGACTGAGAAAGAGGATCAAAGGTATTGGGAGTGAAAATTCAATTAGAGGTAACATATTCTGGCCTTCCCCACCCTGCACCTGTTCCTCAAAATAGATTTATTTTAATTAATTTTTGTTCAGATTAATATGACAAGAAGAGTGGATTAAATAATTAAGCAGACCCTTGCATTTTGGTCACCCCTCATTATCGAGGGTCGTTATTTGACTTAAAGAGCTTCTGATAATTGAACAGAATCCAAGGTAAATAATTGCAGGGAACTGGGCTATATATCCTCCCAGATAACTAAATCGAATAGAATGCCCATTGTATATGAATTGATATTTAAAAGAGAAAGAGGTAGAAAAAATCAATAAAAAGGAAAACCGTATTTCTCACTTTGTGTAATTCTAGTGAAACATAAATAATTTGTGATTAAGGGGGGAAAATACTGATTCAAAAGCAGATTTTAATATGTCCTCATTTTTGGTCTCATTCTTAGCTTTGGGGTCATATGGAAGATGGTATTAACTTGGACAATATATTTTCAATGGGCCATATAGTCTGTCCAAGTGTGTATATTTAGCTGGCCTAACTTTCAACCTGGCATGAATACTTGATAAGCTCATACATCACCCACTGTAATAATTATATGCCTCGTAACAATTGATAATGCTACGTGCACCAATAGCTAGCCTGTTACAGGGCATTCCAGTGCTCAGCAGAATATTCAAAAAGGTTTTTTTTTTGGTTAAATACATGTTTGCCATAACTCATATAATCATTAAACAGAGTCAATATATTATTGCCTGTCCAGAATATATTGGTAGAGCTCTATAAATATACTGTATATGACAGGCTAATACTTCACAGCCTGGCTTCCTGTCACCTCACTCCAGGACACTCTCTGCTAGACTAACTTAAGTACTTGTAATGAAACATTATTCCTCAGGTGGCCCCATTTCCAGGGTCTTAGTGTGATGTGAGTTGATTTACTGTTTGAACTCCCATTGCAGGCATCTATATTTTATTTTAGAAATGAATTTAGTGTTACCAGCTTTTTGAGGTTGTTGGCATACACAGTAGTACTTTCTCCTTGTTAATGGTTTTTATGTGATGATCCTGTAAATTTAAATAGTCTTTAAATTGCCATATTATCCCTTGTTTCCTTTTTTTGGTGATTTTTTTACATATTAAAAAAAGATAATTCTCAATAATAACATGGAATTAACATGAATAACATGGTCATGGAAAAATAATATTTTAAGTGATATGTTTTTTTACCCACCAGTATCATTGGTTAGATTGCTTTGTAGTCAGTTTTATGGCACTGCAGTTCTAAAATTGAATATGATTATTAATCATTTGTATGAGATATCAAAAGAGAGACTCCTTTGTTGATAATTTAATTTTTAATATGATACTGCACATGTTGGAGTTCTCTGAAACAATTCGTCAAGCTTCAGAAAAGTGATTAATAATTGATATAAATCCATTCAATAAGCAAAACACCAGCTGGTGGTGAATGTGAAACTGTAGTAATAATGGATGTGTAATTGAAAAACCATCTGAGTCGAGAGTGAGGTTCTCATGTACCACAACCAATATTACCCCATGGAGTCCTTTTTTTAAATGAGACAAATAAATTCCTTTTAAAATGTATTCTGTGGTGCTTGATTGAAAAGGTGTATATTGGGCTTGGTAGCATATTGTAAGTCCATAAAGGGCCATTCAGAATGAGTTAGGTTACAGTAGATACTGCACACTGAATGCAATCAGGTTAATATCCCTCCTCTTATTTCCAACATTTTTGTATAATCACTACCTTCTATATCAGTCTATATTCTCTTTATTTGCCAGGAGGATGCACGTTAATCTGTGCATCTAATTGCATTCATTGAGATTCCCCGTGTAGTTAGTGTACAGCCAAACTCATTATAATTAACTGCCCCTTATTCACCACTAGGTGGTGCCCTCAAAAGTGAGAGCTGTTATAATTGAAGATGCCCCCACCCCCCACCCACCCAGCTACAATTTCTCCCTCCTCCATTTTTGGGAGAGGTCTCTAATGGGGTTTTAGTTTAAAACTGTATGGACGTCCAGGTCCAGGTGAAGAGTAGCACACCTGTTGTTGTCAGGGAACACAACCTTGTTTACACTTTGCCACCATGGCCCTGTATCGAATGAAATCCATTTCTCATGATAAATATTGCCTCAGTGTTTAATATTAAAAGAATGATTAAATGTAAATAGTGTTTGATTTATATTGTGCTTCCATGCAAAGGCCAAACACAAGCAGTTATCGTTGAATTATTTAACGATGAATAACTGTTCATATTTATGACTAAAGGAGGAGGCTGACATGTGAAATGGAATCTTAAGAAAATGAATTCATTTTTATTTTATACAACATGAGATAGGTACAGTCAGTCAGACCTGGTTAGAATTTTAATTACTGCTGAATGTAATAGTCTTCCCATTTTTGCTACTGGCCAATTTTACAGCATGCCTTTTCAGTCAAAAAAATTCTCATTTTCAAACAGTGAAGTGCTTCATAATGTTATTATATCCTTTAAAGTGTATACAATAATTAACCGTCAATTGTGTTATCTTTGCTCCATATAGGTGTGGGTTGATGCCGGGACCCAGATCTTCTTCTCATATTCCATTGGTCTAGGAGCACTGACAGCTTTAGGCAGCTACAACAAATTCCACCACAACTCTTACAGGTAAGTATGAAGATCTGAGATGATCAGTGATGCTTTATATTATAATATTTGGAAGTGGGTTAAATAATTGGATTGCTTTATGAGGTTTGACTGCCCCTGAGGACTTGCACACAATTAACTCACCAGGTAGCATTGTTACACAGCAGGTGCTCAGGCTATATGATGACCTTATACAGTAGGTTTTTTAAGGTCATCCTTTTTTTGTGATTTATGAATTGACCCTGAAAATTCCATATTAGATTCTATTTTTGGAATGATTGTAAGGATTCTTTTTGTGTGAAGTAATGAGGACCTTTGAGCCATATATTCAGACATGATTCCTTTATTTTGTCCTACTTATTTTCAAAGGAAATATGGTCATTGCATTACATGTGATTATTCCCAGCTGAAGCAATCAAAGTAAAATCCTGCAGTAAATTATTCTAGTGTATTTGCCTGAAATGTTGTAAAAACCCTATAGAAACATGTTTTTGCTCCTTACTGTGGCTTTAATAAAATATAAGAGCCCATTTGTCTTCAGCACCCTGCATGTCAACTTTAATACCTGAATATTAGGAACATATTAATTTGCCCATCAGTTTTCAGTATAGGAAATTTAAGTCTGAACATTATGTATGCAAAATTATGAAGGAAAAAATCTTCTCTTCCTTTTCAGAGACAGTATTATCTTTGCCTGTACCAACAGTGGCACCAGTCTACTGGCTGGTCTGGTGATCTTCTCAGTGCTAGGGTTTATGGCCAAGGAGCAAGGGACGAACGTTGGGAAAGTGGCTGAGTATGGTAAGTGAGTGTGATTACATCATTGCCAAGGATAAAGAAAGCACATTTTGTTAAATAGAATTTGTAGTGGTTGGTATTAGAGCTTCATTATCTTGATGAAAAACTCATGTTTTCTGAGAAGACCAGAAAAATCTTTGGAATTAGAAAAATATGAATGGCATTAACTTTGCATAATTTTACCATATTATGTTGCAGGGCCTGGCCTGGCATTCATTGCCTATCCCAAGGCTCTAGCCCAGATGCCCCTGGCTCCTCTCTGGTCTGTGCTCTTCTTCCTAATGATCATCCTACTGGGGTTGGATAGCCAGGTGAGACATTAGCATTGATTACATACAGTGGAAGTTTCTTCTTTAACTCAAAGTAGGTCTTAAAAGAAGATGCATTTTAGTACAGTTGCTACAGCAATTACACAGCACTTGGTGTCATGCAGTCTAGTTGCGTATAATCCATCCAGTTAAATCAGTTCAGTTCAAAAAGTAAATATGAACTTCTTATGACCAAAGATTGAAAGATCTTCACAGATTATAGCTGTCACTTACAAGTGAATGGTGAAATAAAATGACTTGTAGTTAAAGATTATCTTTGTTTTTCACTTAGAAAAAATATTAGCCCATTTTTGTGTCTTTTAAAATGAAATTTGATGTTTTTGTTACTGTTTCTTGCCAGTTTGTGGGAGTTGAAGGCTTCATCACTGCCATTGTCGATCAGTATCCCCATTATTTGCGCAAGGGGCACAACCGCGAGATCTTCACTGGTCTGACGTGTTTGGTATCATTTTTCATTGGCCTCTCCATGGTAACAGAGGTAAGTAATGCCAGGAAGTAAAAACAATATTTTTTCTGTTTTGAGTACACCATTTGTCTGTCTGTTAATTCAGACATGCCAGTTGTTTTTCTTTCTAAAATTGTATTCAAAATCACTACTTGTTTTTTCCTTTTTTGTACACCTGTTGTCTATTTATTTAGAAACATGTTATTTTTTAAGATACCAGTAATTTATATATCCAAGTACACCATTTTTTATTTATTAAGATAGCTTAGTTTTTTCTTTTTATATGCATTATTTGTTTTCCTTTTTTAATTCAAAAGTTGTTCATCTGTGTAAATACACCGCCTGTTCAGGTATTTATAATTGGTATATAATAGTTAAATAATGTTAATTTACTCAAAGCCTCCAGAAGTTGCAGTGCATGCATAATGTTGCACAGGCTGTTCAATAGACTTAGGAAACAAAAATTGAAATTAAAACTTTGCACAAAGACTGGGCTCATTAGTTCATTCAGTCCTGTTTCTTTCATTCTAGGGTGGCATGTATGTGTTCCAGCTGTTTGACTTCTACTCTGGCAGCAGAATCATCTTGGTGGTGGCCTTGTTTGAGTGTTTGGCAATATCCTACTGCTATGGTGAGGAAAAGTAAACTGGTGCCTACAAAGAGACAGCCGTAATGGGCTCTTAGTGAATGCCCATTTCCCATGTCTCTGTTGTACATGTACAATGTATGAAGCTAATGAGAGTTTTTATTTCCCCATATAGGATAATAGAATACTGCAGGATACTAATAAACACATTCTATTGATGCCCAACAAGAACTGGTTTATTATTACCTCAACCATTGTTTGTTGTATTTTTAAAAAATTAACAGAAGGAACATTTTATTTATTTATTTATTTATTTATTTAATTTTTTTTATTATTAATTTAATGTTATTATTATTAATTTTTTATGTGTGTGTGTGTGTTTTGAGAAATTGATCTTATTATGCTTTATTATTTTAGGAATCAACCGTTTCCATGACAACCTGGAGATGATGTATGGTTTCCGAGTAAACCCAGCTATCAAGGTCATGTGGATGGGAGTGTGCCCTGCTTTTGTCACGGTAAAGTAGCATTCTCAATTTACAGCCAGACTGTATTACTGTCTTTTTTTATCTGCTCATCATGTTGGGCATGGCAAAGTAGGAATTGATTTGTGATTTAAAGAAAAGATGAGCCAAAAATTATAATATGGTGTGCCAGAGCACTTTTTGCAGCAAAAAATGCAATGGTAATTTGGTGATTGCTTTATCTTTACATTGCAAAATACTTATACCTCTGATATTGCACTGCTTTAATTATATAGGATAAACTATCAACTTAAGACTTTTTAATTATTGAAATGTTTCCCATGGCATGCAGTTTTAATAATAAAAAGTTCGTGTAAAGAATTTGAGTGTCTGTTGATATCGCTTCTATCCAGAAAGTTTACAAAAGAAAATGCGTTTCTTCTTTTAGGCAATTTTCATCATGAGTGGGGTCACCTACTCTGAGCTGACCTACAACCGGGTGTACCAGTACCCAAAGTGGGCCATAGCTATTGGCTGGACCATGGCTTCTGTTGCTGCCCTCATGATTCCTCTGTTGATGATTATTCAGATTGCCACCACCCCTGGGACCCTGAAAGAGGTGAGGACTTTGAATAAGTTTGAATAAACTTGGAAATCAAAAGGAATTTTTTAAAAAAATCATTTGCATCTTTTATACATGGCATGAATGATGGATTTCTTAGTTCTTTGAAAAAAATATTTACCAGCCTTTAGGTAAACCAAGGACCATTGAGTCAGGTCATATCTATCTTCATACTTTCACTGCTTTTAGCATGGTTGACTGAAACTTCCCTTTGCCATCTGCCATGGTTTAAATCATGTTTTTTATTACTCTTATCATCTTTTTCATCACAATTGTATTTTGTTCTCTTAGAGAATAGTAAAATTGCTGAGGCCTCGTCTGAAACGTCACCAACTCCGTCCTGAAGATGACCCAGATGACCTGTGTACAGAAGATGCCGAGTTTTATTACGATCCCTCAGCTGCCACCCCAGAAACCGCTCTGACCGACAGCAGCAACTCTGCCTCCTCTGGGGATTGCGAGAAGCAGGAGCCTAATGGAGATCTGAAAAAAGATGGCTCCATGAACGGCTCTAGGCAGTCTATGACATTTTATGAATCTTCATTTTAACAGCTCAGGACTTTTTATAGATGTATTTTAAATACCTTTTGGGACTCAAATTGAGAATTAATATTATATAATAACAAGCCAGAGGTAGTGCTTGGTTGAAGCCACTTAGCTTTTGGTTTTAAGAAATGAAAGGGTGCTTTGTTATTTTGTGTTAATTTTGGTGTTTATCACGGAAGTGAAATGGCTATTGTGAGCGGTATGTTGTAGTGACAGTGCTCTCTACCAGAGGTCAGGAGTTCTGATGATGTCATTTCTGAAATTTTGTGCTAAAATTCCCATTGACAGAATTATGCAGAAAGAAGAATAACTGTGAATATCTGGACCAGGCGTAAAAATATGTTGTCCTGGTAGAGGGGGAAATGAAAAAGAGTGGAGAAATTTTGTGAGCTAAAGTGTAAAAAATGCATGTTGAACAGTACACTTAGTTTTTAAATTCCATCTTTGTCCTGTGACATTGTGTATCAAACATAGGTTTACATTGTATATACAAGTAAGCTTTTGTAATGGATTTGTAGTCTGAATTATGATAACTAAGATACTATGCTTATGGATATTACCAGAAAGTCTGTACACCAATTTTAACTTGTTAGTGTTGAACTTAAGGTATAAAAATATTGTTGTATGAAATAAAGAGAAATGTAATTTCAAATTTATAATAGATTTTCAGGACATATTCATTATATCATCATAGATTGAATCTTTTTACATACCTTTTTGTACCTCCCTGTCAGCGCACAAACATATGTATTTTCTTTAAGTTTTTGGATAAATATGTTGAATTTTAGATACATAGCAAGGTTTTTTCCTGGCATCTTGTGGTTATCATTTAAAGTGAAATTGCCCTTTCTAGTAAAATTAAATGTTAAATATTTTATATAAAAAAGATATGATTTATGTACTTATGCACTGTTTTGAAAAAGTGTAAAACTTTGATGTCAAACATTTGTGATCAAGTTTGCTGTGTACAAGCTCACATTGCATGCTAATTATTTCACCCTTGGAGGCATTTGACTTTGCATGGTAATTTTATTCCTGTCTTTGTCAGTATTATGAAAAAAAAAGATCAAGTGTTGTCAGATTTTTTTAAAAGGAAACCACAGAATAATGCAGCCAGCTAAGTTGCCCTATTGCTAGATAAGCTATTGAATTGTACAATTATCAAAAGTCAGATTCTACTATTTGGCGATGTGAAGACAGCACTGTAGTTCAGTGTGCCAACATTTAGAAAACTTGAATGGCAAGCTTGTGACCAATGAGATAGGTTAGTGTCACTTGTTTCTTACAGATGACAGGTCTGTTTTTGCAGGTTGTGACTGATCTAGAGTATAAAAGTACGCTAATCAGCATGATGTAAATATTAGATTGTTATATTTTATGTTTTCTTAGCATCCCAATACTTTTGTCTTCTGTAAAAGGATTATTGAGTTTGAAATGTTCTCTAGGGAGGAAAAGCGTCAAAGGCTTGGAAACGGTATGGTGCCCTCTGCGCCTTTATATCTTATTAGATAGTAAAATAGTGTATATAAGCTTACATGTACTTCTTGAGTAGTATATATTAGAATAAAACAGCATTGTAGGCTTACGTTTGATGTCTGTCATTTTCTTAATATATTGGTTTTTAATATATATTCCAAAAGAATAGAGAATCAAATTTAGAGTTGACAGTTTTCATATTCGGACACATTGAGCCTAAAATTTCCAAAACGACAGTTATTTCATTTGATTTTATTTGTTTATTTTCCTTCATGCGTTGTTAAATCAAATATATCAATTAGATGTGAAAAGATTTAGGAATTTTTTGGTTTCAAGGTGATTGGGGTCTATGTTGTTAGAGGTTGGTAGTTGGGTAGAGAACGTTACGATGTTATAGTACGCATTCCCAGCAGACACGACGTAATAGCTACGTCAAACGACGTCACGGCGTCGGGATGACGTGTCTGATGGGTGCTGACGAAGAGAAAAAAAATTTATAATATGGCCAACAAAAGAAAAGGAAAAGCATAGTTCGGATTATTTGTATAATAAATGTGCTCGTGTGTGTGTAAAATGCTGTACATAAGTAGTACCAGTCAGTATTAAGATCTATTACAACATAGCGCTTGTGCCGCTTGGTCAGTTGCATATCGGTATCAACCTGTTCAATAGCTGATTGTTTAAAGGTTCAAAAGAAGCGATTGTAAGATTTATGAGTACCACTTTAACTTTCTTTCAAAACAAATAAAATCCCCCCCCCCCCAAAAAAAAAAAAAAAAAGAAAAACGAAATTAATTTCTCGGGCAGCAGAAAAAGGCTTTAAAACTTCACCTTCTTCAATTTTCTGGTCGCAAACTTGACCTGATTTTTTTTCTTCCACAGAATAAATGCAGATATATATGTGTAATTTTTTTTTTTTTTTGGAAAAATAATGTAACGAAACTGGCATTTCTATGAGTAAAGGTATTTAAAACACCATGGTGGCATTTGGTCAGGTTCAGTGGCAGTGCTTTAAAATGTAAATGGAGTTACTTGCTTAATATGCACCTTTAAGTGTAATGGATCCTGCTTCAGCAGTTAGTTTTCTTAATGCAAAAAAGATATTTTGAAATGACAATTGTTATACTATGATACACCGCAGATTACTCTTGGCTTTTTCTCATATTGACTGTTGTTAAGAGTAAGAAGATCCTTGCTTGCCCAAAGTTTGTATATTATTCAGTACAACAACCCATCGAAAAGGGATATCGAATTTGTAATGATTTTATAAGTTTCTTAGTAACCGAAAAAATCTTTCGGTTCGTCAGCGTCACTCTACGTTTCAGTGTACTGATGATGACTTTCCTCAAGCAAACATATAATCTCCGCTCATTGTGTTTCCAGTAAACTGATACTCGGGAGAGATTTAGTGTTATGTAATATATATGAGTGATCACAACGTTGTTACATACACGTTCCAATAGAATAAGTTTTAAGACCAAAACCTATGACTTCTCAATTAGAAATTGATTGAAAGACGATGCCACTTTTGTCAATTTTTGTGTACGAAAGTTTCGGTCTATTTTCTAATTCGAAGGATTGGCACATTGTAGGTAGAACGAACTTTGAAAAACACCACAGTGCCACACTCAACGACACGTCTTGTGACATATTATTGTAGACAGATATATTTACACAGCTGAAATAATTAGCAATAGATAAATAAAAATACCCGTATCCATTGTGCACTTAAAGTCGTTCTAGTTATTAATAGGCCCACTGTGGGGTAAATTGCGTTTTCACTCATGTTACAAAACTTTTTATGGGCACTGGAAACTTTCCCAAGTAATTAAAGACCTTTTTACTGTATTTGAAAGAAAAAATTAAACGGAGAGAAAAGTTATATTTAGGATTTTTCTCTCACAACCCATTAACCGGAGGTGATTCAAATGCCAAGATAATGCACAAGTGATTTATTTTGAAAATATCCAATTTGGCGTTGATCCATTCTTTAGCTGTCGGGTCGTGATGGAGGGCAATACTAATTCTTAATTTCAATATCTTTTCTGGCAAATACCACAATTATCTACTTCGTCTTCGACCAAATCCTAAGTATTATCGACTCGTATAAGTATATTGATTTCAAGAAGGATGTTCTGTATGTTAAATGCTTGGTGACAACACGGGCTCTTATCTTATCACAGGCAAATAAACCCCTTCTTTTCTTGCAGATAGTTAATGGTTGACACTTGAAACATTTCTCTTTTTTCTTAAATAAACTCACAGATGTACATTGTATCTGAAGAAAAAAATATTATTGAGCTTGAATAATGCATGCCTTTATCCGTTTAAATGCAAGGTATAGATCTAACAGATAGCCTGCACCATAAACCTTTACAAATAAGAATATCCTATCACACAATATTAAGCGCATGATTTTGTTGGACGGATGTTAAGGTATTCTCAAACATTTACAACGTTATTCTCAAGCGCAAAATCACAGTCAAAGCACAAAACTTAACGACGTAGTGTGACAAAATTGGAATAGTTTGCTAGTTTACAAGAATGTAATAATCACTCTGTTCACTCGATTCCAGTTCATCCGTGTTCTTTTCTCCCGCCACTAGTTCACATTGAAGCAGGCGGATTCCAGCGCCCACGGGTTTGACATTGAAAGAGCCACAGCCGTAGTGGTTTAAGCAGAGGACTCCGCACTCGGAGAGGATCCTAGTGTTAGCCACCTTAAGGATGTCGCCAGAGCGGACACCTTGTCCTTTGCGCTTGAAAAGCGCGTTCTGGACTATTGGTTGGCCTAAAATGAAGCATATCCTATGATAAATGACATTTTACATTATATGCTTTAACGAACGAAGTCAGGTTTGTAATAACAAAATATATTAAAAAAAAAAAAAAAAAAAAAAAAAAAAAAAAAAAAAAAAAAAAAAAAAAAAAACAGAATATGTAACATGTATGCACTTAAAACCATAAGAGGCAATTTGGTTCTATAAGTTAGCTGCTTTAACTTGAGCGCTAATTCCTTGAAAATTCAGTGTACATGAGGAAACAGGAAAAATAAAATGAAAGAAAAAAGGTTTCAAACAGTGGCGTGTCCAAGGAGCTTTAAAGAGAAAACTAACACCCTGTTTTCTTCTCTCCCACCTACTCTTTGTCCCGCCCCTTTAGTCAGGCCACTATTGATGACACGAAAAACCTAGACTCCTTTCAAGTCGTCATGCGTATTACCTTGAACTCTGACCTCACACAATCTGACAGAGGTCGAGTCTTGAGAGTTGGCTGGTAAAATAGCCACGTAGCGACCCCACATCGGCCCTACACACGTCACTGTGGTGCCATTCAGGGAATTCGTGCCTTGGAAGTTACCACAGAAAGAAAATTCTTCCGATATCACGGCACCACTGCCGAACGACGAACCCACCCGCACCTGAAAAGCGCCTGAAATGGAACAATAATCAAAATAAGCTTTCTTATAAAATTGATTAAATTGGTGCTGTTTTTGCAAATTAGAAACTTAAAGAACTACTGTAGACTTTTAACTTCAATAGCACTCACAATTGACTGGAACATACTAATTATTGTATTTTTGGTGATATTCATGAAGCAGTCACGCAAAAGGACACATTATAGACAAGCCATAGGTGAAGACTAAATCGAAGTGGATTTAAATAGTGACAATTGCACAAGAGTTCTAAAAAGCTAATTTAATTGAAACATATGGAATATGATCAAATAAAATGAAATAAAATAGAGTAATAAGTAAAATAAGTAAAATAAAAAGAACTAAATCTATTTGAATACATAGATAATCAAAATATCTTTGAGATTTCTTGAACACCGTAAAGCTTGGGAAAGGGAGGGTAACTTTAACTTCACCTGACCATTTGTTTCCCTTAAAGAGTGGGCTTAATGACAATCACCTGTTTGGGCGTCAGACACGATAACATTGTGAATGGTTGCCTCCGTGCCGAGGTCCACCATCCACCACGCCCCAGGACCTGCCAGGGTACGGGAGCAGGTACTTTCCGCCCCGTCCAGAACATTAGCAGCAACATCGTCCCCGTACGTCGAACTTTGATTCGCTGCTTTACCAAAAGCCAAATCAGGGAGGTTTCCTGTTTCACCTGAAAAAGGGGTTTTAAAAGAAAGTCCTTTTTGTTTTCTGAATATGGGGACTTATGTAAATAATTTATTTTTCTTTGCCCCGGCCCTTTTTTCAGTTCATCTACCGAAGTCTTTAAACGGCATACTTACATGCTTGTACTTACTATCAAATTCAAAGTTAACCAAAAACTAAATAGACTTCCATTAACTTGACATATCGGAAGGACATTAAGATATTTGTGATTCACCTACCATCTACGAAAAGCAGACGGATATCACCCGTATCGGATGTCGGTTCCGGCGTCTGACAGGCACAGCCCGTGGAAGCAACAGGTGTGGTCGACGTCGTTGAACTGTCTTCTGAACTTGTAAGTATTTCTTCGCTAGAAGCTGGTGAACCTCTAGCAAGCGTAGTGCCTACTGTTGTCCCTGCATCTGTGCGGATGTCTAAAGTGGCCCCGACTGTGGTCTCTCTAACCTGATTCTCTGACTCAAGTGTAGGATTTAATGTCACTACTCCATTCACTAACCCCTCTGTGCTGGAAGGACCTGCTGTCCCAGAGTGAATGGAAGGCGGAAGAGTGGCAGTTGTAGTGAAATCCCCTGCGTTGCTGCTTGAGACAGTTTCTGCTCCTGGATTTGTAGTAACCCCTTCTGCATCAGTGGTCATAGGAGGAGTGGTTTTGGCATCAGCAGTGGTAATAGGAGGAGTGGTTTCGGCATCAGCAGTGGTAAAAGGAGGAGTGGCTTCGGCATCAGCAGTGGTTATAGGAGGAGTGGTTTCGGCATCAGCAGTTGCGATAGAAGTGGTTTCTGCATAAGTAGTGGTGGTAGAAATAGTAGAATATGCATCAATAGTAGTGGTTTCTACATCACCAGTGGCGGTATAAGAAGTGGTTTCATCATCAGCGGTGTTGGTTGGAGTAGTAGTGGTGTCTGCATCAACAGTGGTGGTAGAAAAAGTGGTTTGAGAACCAGAAGTGGTGGTAGGAATTCCGGTTTCTGCAGGAGTTGCAGTGGTGTCAACATTGCTGGTAGGGGAAACGGTTTCTGTATTAGTAGTGGTGGTTTTAGAAGGGGTTCCTGCAACAGTGTGGGTAGCTGTAGTGGATTCCGCAGCAATGGTTGTTGAAGTATTTGTTCTTTTTTCAACAGTGCTGCTAGGACTTGTGGTGTCTGCATCAGCTGTAGTGGTAGGAACAGCCCTTTCTGTATCAGCAGTGGTCATGGATGAAGTGTTCCCTGCATCAGCAGTAGTGGCAGGTAAAGCGGTTTCTGCCTGACCGGTGGTGGTAAGTTCATCAGCAGTGGTGTAGGGACTATTGGTTTCCACAGCAGCGGTGGTGGTGGTAGTAGTGCTAGTTTCTGCACCAGCAACGGTGGAAGTACTGGTTTTTGCATCAGCAGGGGTAGACAGAAAAGCATTTTCTGTGGCAGTGGTAGTAGGAGCAGTAATGTCTTCATCCCCATCGGTGGTAGAGGTAGTACCTTCTGCAGCAGTGCTGGTGGGAACAATTGTTTCTGCATCAGCGGTGGGGACAAGAGTGGTAGTTTCAACAACAATGGTGGTATCAGTGCTGATTTCTGAAGCCGCATTAGTGGTGGGAGAAGTGGTTTCTGCATCAACAGCAGTGAAAACAGTATTGCCTTCTGCAGTGGTGTCGGTTGGAGCAGTGGTATCTGCATCAGCAGCAGGGGTAGAAGATTCTGCAGCAACCATGGTGGTAGTAAGAATGGTTTCTGCATCAGTACCAGTGGTAGGAGTGGTTGTTCCTTCATTAACATTGGTAGTAGTGGTATATGCATCAACTGTGATTGTCAGATCAGCTCCTTCTGCATCAAGAGTGGTTGATGTTTCAATAGTGGTGGTAGCAGAAATGGCTTCTAAATGGTCGGTGGTGGTTGGTGCATTGGATTTTGCATTATCAGTCGTGGTTTCTCCAGCAATGGTGGTAACAGCGCTGCTTTTTATGTCGGCAGCAGTAGTATGGGAAGTAGTTTCTGCATCAATAGTAACGCTAGAAGTAGTGCCTGTTACAGCAGCGTTAGTTGGAGCAGTGGTTTCTTCAACAGACGTGGTGAGAACAGCAGAGCTTTCTGCATCAGCAGTCGTTGCTGGTTCAGTGGTACTGGAAGCAGTGGTGGTGGGGCCAGTAGTTTCAGTATCTGTAATGGTTGTGGAAGTAGCTGTTTTTGTATCAGAAGACGTAGCTGAATCAGTAGTGGCTGTTGAATCAGAGACTGTGTTAGTTGTTCCTGCATTGGGGCCTGTACGTGTTATTTCTATGCCAGATACTGTGCTAGTGGTCCCTACATTAGAGACTGTGCTAGTAGTGCCTGTATCAGTGACTATGGTAGATGGTGCTCGACTTGGGGCTGTTGTAATTGTTCCACCAGAGACTGTGCTTGTTGTCAGTGTATCATCTACAGCACTAGTGAATTTCAAATCGCGGACAGTGGTTTCTGTATCAGACGCTATTCCTGTTGTTCCTGCAACAGTTGTACCGTTTGATTCTACATCTTTACTAGTACTAGAAGTGTCTACTGCAAAAGATGTACCAGTAGTTTGTGCTCCAGCGGCTGTGCTAGTGGTGTCAGCAGTTGTCATCGTACCAGTCTCTGCATCATTACTACCACCAGTGATATCTAATGCAACGGATGCACCCGTAGTTTTTGCTCCAGGAGTTGTACTAGTGGTTTCAGCTGCATTGCTTGCACGGGTTTCTTCAGCATCAATACTAGTACTAGTGGTATCTCCTGCAAGAGATGTAGCAGTAACTCTGGTGGTAATGCTGGTTGTTTCACCTGTGGTGGTTTTACCACTTGTTCCTGCGTCAATACTAGAAATAGTGGTGTCTACTGTAACGGTTGTACCAGTTTTAATACTAGTGGTAATACTAGTGGTTTCAGCTGCATTGGCTGTATCAGTTGTTTCTGCATCAATACTAGATGTGGCGTGTACTGTAACAGACGTACCAGATGTTTCAGCTCTAGTGGTTACACTTGTTGTTTCTGCATCAATAGTAGTGCTAGTGGTGTCTACTGTGCTGGATGAACCAGAAGTTGCAAATCCATTGGTAGGGTTTGTGGTTTCGGCTGTAGTGGTTGTACCAGTAGTTTCTGCGTCAATACTAGTACTAGTGGTGTCCACTGCAACGGATGTACCAGAAGTTCTGGCTCTAATGGTTGGACTTGTGGTATCAGACGCAATGGTTGTTCCAGTTGTCTTTGCATCAATAGTAGTACTAGTGATGTCTACTGCAATGGACGTACCAGTAGTTTCAGCTCTTGTGGTAGTACTTGTGATTTCAGCTCCAGTGGTTGTTCTAGTTCTTTCTGCATCAGTACTCGTACTAGTGGTGTCTCTTGCATTGGATGTACCAGAAGTTCCAGGTCCACTGGTGGGACTTGTGGTTTCAGCCACAATGGTTGTTCCAGTTGTTTCTGCATCAATAGTAGTGCTAGTGATGTCTACTGCAATGGACGTACCAGTAGTTTCAGGTCCACTTGTAGTACTTGTGGTTTCAGCTGCAGCGATTGTTTTAGTTGTTTCTGCATCAGTAGTGGTGTCTAATTCATGGGATGTACCAGTAGTTTCAGCTCTTGTGGTAGGTCTTGTAGTTTCAGCTGCAGTGGCTGTACCCATTGTTTCTGCATCAGTACTCGCACTAGTGGTGTCTTCTGCATGGGATGGACCAGGAGTTGCAGTTCCACTGGTTGGACTTGTGGTTTCAGCTGCAGTGGTTGTTCCAGTTGTTTCTGCATCCATAACAGTACTAGCGGTGTCTACTGCAATGAATGTACCAGTAGTTTCAGTTTTTCTGGAAGAACTTGTTGTTTCAGATGCAATAGCATAACCAGTGGTTTCTGCATCAGAAGTCGTACTAGTGGTGTCCAATTCATGGGATGTACCCGTAGTTTCAGCTCTTGTGGTAGGACTTGTGGTTTCAGCTGCAGGGGCTGTACCTGTTGTTTCTGCATCAGTACTCGCTTTAGTGGTGTCTACTTCATGGGATGTACCAGAAGTTGCAGCTCCACTGGTGGGACTTGTGGTTTCACCTGCAGTTGTTCTACCTGTTGTTTCTGCATCAGTACTCGTACTAGTGGTGTCTACTGCATGGGATGTACCAGAAGTTCCAGGTCTACTGGTGGTACTTGTGGTTTCACCTGCAGTTGTTCTACCTGTTGTTTCTGCATCAGTACTCTCTTTAGTGGTGTCTATTTCATGGGATGTACCAGAAGTTGCAGATCCACTGGTAGGACTTGTGGTTTCACCTGCAGTTGTTCTACCTGTTGTTTCTGTATCAGTACTCGTACTAGTGGTGTCTGTTGCAGATCCACTGGTAGGACTTGTGGTTTCAGCTGCAGTTGTTGTACCCATTGTTTCTGCATCAGTACTCGTACTAGTGGTGTCTACTGCATGGGATGTAACAGAAGTTCCGGGTCCATTGGTAGGTCTTGTGGTTTCAGCTGCAGTTGTAGTACCAGTTGTTTCTGTATCAGTACTCGCACTAGTGGTGTCTACTTCATGGGATGTACCAGAAGTTGCAGATCCACTGGTAGGACTTGCGGTTTCAGCTGCAGTTGTTGTACCAGTTGTTTCTGCATCAGTACTCGCACTAGTAATGTCTACTGCATGGGATGTACCAGAAGTTGCAGCCCCACTGGTGGGACCTGTGGTTTCAGCTGCAGTTGTTGTACCAGTTTTTTCTGTATCAGTACTCGCACTAATGGTGTCTACTGCCTGGGATGTACCAGAAATTGTAGCTCCACTGGTGGGACTTGTGGTTTCAGCTGCAGTTGTAGTACCAGTTGTTTCTGCATCCATAATTGTACTTGCGGTATCTACTGCAATGGATGTGCCAGTACTTTCACCTCTTTTTGTAGTCCTTGTGGTTTCAGCTGCAGTTGTTGTAACAGTTGTTTCTGCATCAGTACCCGTACTAGTGGTGCCTACTGCATGGGATGTACCAGTAGTTTCACCTCTTTTTGTAGTCCTTGTGGTTTCAGCTGCAGTTGTTGTACCCGTTGTTTCTGCATCAGTACTCTCTTTAGTGGTGTCTATTTCATGGGATGTACCAGAAGTTCGGGGTCCACTGGTAGGACTTGTGGTTTCAGCTGCAGATGTTGCACCAGTTGTTTCTGTATCCATAATTGTACTAGAGGTATCTACTGCAATGGATGTGCCAGTAGTTTCACCTCTTTTTGTAAACCTTGTGGTTTCAGCTGCAGTTGTTGTACCAGTTGTTTCTACATCAGTACCCGTACTAGTGGTGTCTACTGCATGGGATGTACCAGAAGTTGCAGCTCCACTGGTGGGACTTGTGGTTTCAGCTGCAGTTGTTGTACCAGTTGTTTCTGCATCA